AAGAAAAAAAATAAAAGGTACGCATATACGAGTAAATATACAAACATATTATTTAAGGGTAATCATGAAGCATTGAAAACAGTATAATTTTAAGAAACGTCAGATCGAAATTCAAATCTGGTAATCGCGATGGCGATGCAACATCACGAGACCAATCAGGCCATTTTTTCATTAGATAGAAATACACACTTTTTTCTGCATATTCAATTTCATCTTACCTTTGTGGCCAGGGACAAATTCCATAGCATTTCCGAAAAAGACGTGTGGCTTTGGTCCAGGAATATTATGAAGGTACTTATTAAAATATTTCTTATCAGTATACTTTTTGATGAGATATAAAACGTACACTATTATAATAGAGTAAAGTAGTGATAAAAATAGTGCGAATATGACTCCCATTGCGCAAGGATCAGAACTAATCTGACATGCAAAAATGTTTCTTCAAGAAGTGTGCATTTTTTTAGTTGGCATGTAAATTGCCTTTATTCATAATAGTAAATGGTGATTTAGATTTCATCACCTTTTTTTAAACACTTTTCAGATAACTTGTCGCTAATATGGACCGAACAGCACTGCTTATTTAAGTGCACATATTGGGTGACATAGGAATTAGAACACGCTTTAGCTGTTAGACTGTAAGAAATCAACTAAAGGTTTTGCGGCAATGAGGTATTCCCTATTTCACGAGTATCCATCACGCTTTGACATCTACTGAGGTGAACAGCTGATCAGCAAGTGAAATTTTTGTGTGAGTCTGCAAGGTTAGCAATAATGAATCGGGGGTAAATCTAGTAAAACTTGTTTGTAGCGTTTTGTTTTTTGTACGCAAACGAACTTTTATAAATAAAAGAGCTTTTAGCTAGTACAAAATGAATCTGTAGCGTACAAACCAAAATAAAATATGGTTCTGTCTACCTGGCATTGACGGATCCGTCAGAATTGTCATTAGCCGATATGGGGAATTTTGAAATATTATTAGATAATCAGCTATGATTCTACCGTAATGGATACTCGTGAAAAAAGCTTTACCTAAGCCACATTCAAATAAAAACCCACATTTCTATCTAGAAGCACCCGTCATATTTATTTATGGCCCGAGCTCATTTTTTGGACAATTCGCTGATTTCTAAATGGCATTTTTGAACAACCACGATATCCCATACATTTTTACGCCAAGAAAGCTATAAGCCACTTAAATTCCAAGATTGGCGCCAAACGAGAATTAGTCGAGGGCGAAAACAAAGGATCTTTCAATGATGGAGAGAACAAAGATGTTTCTAGATTTAGTCCAGATGACAGTGTGAAGGGCAGATACTATCGTCCGAATTAAAGCAGTTCTGAGAGTGATTCTGAGCGAGTATCTCAGGTGATTAAATAAATTTGTGGCTTATGATTTCATTGCTTTTACAGAAGTAGCTTAATTCTTTTGTTATAGGAAAACTATTTTTGTAATAGTTTCACAATATCACTAGAAAATGATTTCAAACGATCTATTTATCAGACTATGACATTATCCTTTCTGAGAATGACTCTGGTAGACCGCAAATAATTTTGATACGTGTCACTAATATGTAATTTTGCAGTGAGCGGCTTATGCTCTTCTCGAATAAATAAATTTATCTGTGTGGCTTGTGACCTTCTTCAAGAAATTCATATTGTTTTCTAAATAGAGAACGCATCTGACACAGAGCTAATGGAAAAACAGAACATGTACGCATTTGGCTCCATATACAATCCATTTTAATGAACTGTGAGGTTTCAAGTCTAGCAACGAACACCAAAATCATATATTTATAAGAAAACACTTTCAAGTCTTCCCCCTGGAATTACAATTTTTTTCAATAAGCCACAGTATTTTTAAAAATGAATTTGATGGGTTAAGCATTGCGGTGAAGGGTTGTGACTAATTTTTTCTCAGAGAGCCTAACTTTATCATACTGCTCTCATCCGTCCGATCAAAGACAGCCAATGATGGACAGATGTTTCATGCTTTTTTTGTTAGCTCATCAGCATAGTATAGTCTCCAGGACAACAAACGAAAGCATAGCAACTATCCCCATTCCAGGATATGAGGACTATAGCGCTAGCTTATTTTGAAGGAGACTAACGTGTGCTGCTGAACTGGAAGTGCAGATTCAACCTACTTGATGACATTTTCTTTATTTATGATACAAAATCTGATACAAAAAATATTTCACTACAAATTTGTTCACCATTCTCTCTTAAATAGTCTTATATACATTCCGTTTGCAGATTTTAAGACAGTTTCTGCTGCTAGAATTACTTCATGCGCTGGCTCAGTTGCATTAGCCTGAAATTTCTTAACATTTTGACAAACAGCTTTTCATTTCAAGCATTGCAAATCTCTGACCTGAAATTTAAGGAAATTCAACATATTGTATTATTATATATATGTATATCATTATATTATAGTAGTTCCTACCCCACATACGATTAAGTAAGGGTTTTCCATTAAGGACTTGACAACTTACTTTTTAAATAAAACGCAAACCATTTGAGATATCTCGAAAATTTTATTATTGGATTGAAGTATACTCAAACATTTATATAGGGAATTCGACCGCAGCGATCGATTCGTTGAACCCAATTTTCAATTACTCGGGCCACACATTTCGACAGAACGGTCGCTATATCTCGTCATTATTGGCTCTGAGCTTCTCTAACGACGCAGGCTTGTTGGCAAGAGCCCCACAAAAAAGTCTAGAGGTGATCAGTCACACGATCTAGGCGGCCCTTTGTCAGGACCATTTCACAGAATTTTTATTTCAGATGTCGATTGTTTCACCCGCTGTGTGGTTTGTGGCACCGTCTGGTTAAAACCACATATATTTAATGTTTAGCCCATTGATTCTCAAAGTGGTCTATATCGACCCCTAGGGGTCTATGACAACCTGCAAGGGGTCTACGACAGCGAAAAAAAATTTGGGGTCCATGAAATGAATATGGGGGTCCATGATAGTGGATCTCAACACATACACTGATAGTACCTATTTACTTACATCATACTATCTATAATATCAAAACATATACATTATTTATAAAGTACCTATGAAGTAAAAAATTTATTATATATGTTTATAAATTGTGTAAGTTGTAGGATGTTGGTATTCGCTTTGTGGTCGCAATACATTTTGAACTTGTAAAAACCTGAGAGTCGCAGTCTCAGAGCTTCGCTACCTTGCACTGACTTGGTCAATTCGTCACTCTATAAATACGAATGTGGGACAAATACGTTTATTCGTTTCCTGAATCTTGAAAAGGAAAGTGCTAAGAATATATTTTAAAAAATATAAACAGATAGTATATCACACAAATTATAGTGAGTCAGTGTTATTTTGTTTGAGAGTGCTAGAGTTAGCAAAGATAGATAAATTACGCCAATCATGACTTTAGTTATTAGTAGTTAAATATTCAATCATGCAAAATTACACGAGTACTCCTCAATAGTTTCTTTTGAAAGTTTTAGCAATCGGTAATATAATTACAGTGCAATCTCCGTAATTCGAGCTAATTGTTGCAAGAAGATGTTCGAATTATGGAATGTTTTCGGAAAAATCAAAAATATTTTAATATACATCTGCTGTATTTTCTGTCTTATTTAAATAATTTAATTTTGCCCACAGATGACTGATGCCATGTCCGAATCTAAAAAGAAATGTAGACAGTACAGTGTTGATTATTGAAATTTGGCTTCATTCCATCATTGCCGGACAAACAATCGCCTATGTGCCTTTTATGCAACAAAGTTTTGGGCAATGACGCTATGAAACCATCTAAACTGCAAGATCATCTGAGAAGATGCCACTCTGATAAAACAGAGAAAGATTTGAAATACTTTCAATCACTCAAGATAAATTTCAGAAAAGACCTGCACTGGACAGAATGTTCACTTCGACGTCACAAAGAAATGATGATGGTTTGCGGGCGTCTTACAATATCTCGTTACTTATAGAAAAATCCGGAAAACCGCATACTATCGGAGAGAAGTTAATTTTGCCAGCCGTTGAAGAGGTTTTATAAACTGATTTACACAAACCTGTATCTGATATCATTAAAACAATTCCCTTAAGCAACAATACTGTTGAAAGACGTATTGATGAAATGAGTTCTGATATTGAAAGCTCTTATGTAATTATTTGCAAACGACCCATTTCTCTATACAACTGGACGAGTCAACCTTACCTAATAATGCAGCATTATTATTGGCATATGTTCGTTTTATTATGAATCAAGAAATCTACGAAGAACTGCTCTTCGCAAGAACTTTGATAACCGACACTAAAGGTGAATCAATATTTCATGTTTTGAAGGATTACTTCATTGAAAAATCAATTCCTTTATCAATATAATATCAGTAGCTACAGATGAAGCACCTACCATGGTTGGACGTTATCGTTGATTTATAAGCTATTTAAAATAAAATGTGTCAGGGGTGTTAGCAATACATTGCGTCATCCATCGACAACATTTAGTTGCTAAAAATTTGAGTGTTAGTTTGCATGAATCACTTCATTTAGTCATTGATGCAGTAAACCGAATCTGAAGCACGCGTTGAATACGCGGTTATTTGCGCAGTTGTGTGAAGAAAATGACGAACACTTTCATCAATTACTCCTTCACACTGAAGTACGCTGGCTGTCGAAAGGCTTATGTTGACAAGATTTTTTCCACTTTTTGAGACTATTTAGAATTTCTGGATACTAAAGATAAAATTTTAAAAGAAAATTTAATGAAGAGGAAAACAGACATCGCCTATTTAACAGATTTGTTTACAAAATTTAATATGGTTAATTTGCAATTACAAGGCGACAGTTTAAATTTGATTAAAACAAAGTCCATCTTATCAGCGTTTCTTGCCAGAGGTTAAACTAATGAAGCAAAATATTGGACGGGGCGAATTTTCTCAGTTCCCAATTTGTCACAGACAAGCTGCCATGAAGACGACGTTTCAACTTACTCTATTCAGATTTTGAATCTAGGTTTGAGGATATCTTGACTATGGTAATACCACCGTGGATAATTAATCCATATGGTGACATAGAAGAAACGAATGTCATAATACAAGAGGAACTGACTGAACTAAGTATAAACGAAGAACTTAAGGTTCAGTTTAAAAACGGATATCAGCAATTCTGGCTGAAAAACAACATACCCGTTACGTATCCCGTATTATGGAATATAGTGAGGAAATTTTCAATTTCCTTTCCATCGTCATACCTAGTGGAAAGGGGTTCAGCGCTGTTACCAATCTCCTAACGAAAACAAGCAACAGACTGGACATCATTAGCCGAGGAGATTTAAGATTAATCCTTACAAAATAGACGCCAAATGTTGATAATTTATTATTAAAGCATCAGGTTCATCCTTCTTCCTAAAAATATTGACTTATTGCTTATGTTATTTTATTTATAGTTTATTTTATCTTTATTGGTGTCTGACCAATAAATGCCCGCATTGGAAATAAGTGCCCGCATTGATTTTTTTAAAGAACCCCCTTTATAGAAAATATTTTTTTTTAATTATTCTGAAAATTCAAGGATAGGTACACACTAAAATTCGTTAATTTTTTGCCTATTTTTAGATAACTTAAACGTATAAGAAGCGGAATTTAATCAAACTAACAGTGAAATTATTGTAGAACATACGTTTATGTTATAATTAATAAACGAACTCGCTTATTGTACTATTTTAAGTAAAAAACCTTTTTTTATTTTTTTTTCACTTTTTTTTATTTTATCCCTCTTATTTTTTTTTCAATGCGGGCACTTATTCCCAATGCGGGCACTTATTGGTCAGACACCTGTTTAATTAATGTTACGTATATTTTACATAACAGATACAAAATTTTATTTTGAGTAATTTTAATTTAAATTCAATTAATAAATGTATAAATTAACATGTGTTTTTACTTTAAGTTTTTAACACTAAACTTCACTACAGTTAGAAATTTACAGGAAATCAATATCAGGTAAGTAGGGGGTCTACCTAACACGGAAAAACATGGCAAGTGGTCTACGACACAAAAAAGTTGGGGAACTCCATCCAATTGTCCAAAAAAATAGCGTTGCAACATGTCTCTGTAGTGATCTTCTTTACTAAATGTTTTGACAGTGACAGTTCGATAATTGATTTAAAGGTGCCTTCACAGTGAAAGTTCAAAGTTGTCAAGTCCCTATTGGAAAACCCGATATTATAATCATGGGAAATTTCGAAAATGAGATAATGATGTTTTTTTTGGGTGGTCACATAAAATGTCACTCAATTCAAACTTCGTGTTTTGACGTTTCAGAGTATCATTTTCAGAAAAATTCTCCCAATGGTTAAACATTGGATGTTGAGGAATGTAGGGGGGGGGGAAGGAGAGTATAATATGTCAATTTTTGCCAGCAAAGTATACGTTTCCATCTCCGTTAATTCTATGCACCTATAGTCAACGCCAAACAAAGTGGCGTGCACGTCATCACGATAAAAATTCCCCCGACCTAATGCCGAGGTTTTTCACAAACAATTGCTCTATTGCAGTTTTCATATTAATGTGATATATAAATGGTAAAATGGTCATTACTCTCTTATATGGTTAATAGTCATATAAACATTGTTATTAAAATATCACATAAGTTGCTTTCTGATAAATTTAGACGCATTATGCGAAATAAAATGTTTTGCAACGCTCCATCACTTAATCGACATGAAACGCACTAAACCGATTTCGCAGCGTTTGACACATTGTCACCTGAACTTATTTAAACTGGGAACTGACATTTGTATTAATTTTGACACTGAATCAATTTGTGGCATTTCAAATCTTTATAAATCTTTGGCCCCGCATACTGTAAATCAACAACTGTTTTGGTTCAAAAAACAAATTATTCATTTTACGAGTAGATAAAGGCAAATTTTGGTATATAAGATGTCCCAAACAGTTAAATAGTCGGTTTAAGGAACTCGTGGCCTCGTTAATGCACTACTTTGAGCAAGAAAGGGACAACAACGGGCCTTTGTTGCCTTTAAATGCTGTTCAAGAGGTAGGTTACTAATAATTATATGTAATGTATATTAATAATAGTGAAATTTTATTTCATTTTTTGTAGCGTGTTGCTGCTGCTTTAAAAATTAGTTTAAGGACAGTTAGTCGTATTCCGAGGGGTGTGAAAAGTGATGCAAATTTAGAATCGCCCAAGAAAAAGGCGGAGTTATATTAAACGTGTAACCAACACAGCGACATTGGATACAAGTGCCATTCGAGAAGTGATCTATAATATGTATCACAAAAGTAAGGATCTTATTATAATAACTTGATCAGAAAATGTGCATATAATTTGTTAACTAAATTATAATGTCATATACACATGGTTTCAGAAGAACAAGTTACGATACAAACTTTATGGTCTCGATTAAGAGATAGGGCATTATTTGATGGTAGTGCCACGTCTTTAAGGCGGTTGCTTAGAGATCTTGGATTTAAAGTGGCTTAAGGACAATCCGCGACGAGGGCTCATGGAACTACCAAGTATAGCTTTGAAAAGGGTGGAATTTCTAAGGCAATACAATCAAGCCAAGGTTGAGGCCTTATACCAGTTTGTCTTTCCTCGATGAAACTTGGATATTTCAAAATGGGACCATAGGTCGCTCTTGGCAAAATGGAAACCAAAAAAGCGTGAAAGCTATTAAACAGATGGTAAAAGGTATGTACTTTTACACAATTTGCACTATAAAATTTAAAACTAATATATTTAGATACATTATATTACATGCTGGAATGAAAATGGGTTTATTGAGGGTAGTGAAGCGATATTTTCTTCGAAAACAAAATTGAGGCGATTACCATGGAGAGATGAACCAGGACAATTTTTTGAAATGGTTTCAACATCAGTTATTAGAAAATTGGAGAGTCCATTATGATTATACTGGATAACGCCCCTTATCACAGCATGATATTGAACAAAGTGCCCAACAATGCATGGACAAAAAAAATATCCAAGACTGGTTGACAAATCAAAACATACCATTTTTAAACACAATGTTTAAAACAGAGCTATTGAGTATTGTGCTCGGTACATAATGCTTCTTAATTATATATATTTTGGTCGACAGTTTATATTTCTTTTGTTTATTCCTATTCTTAAATAACTGCTTTTTTTAGAAACAAACCACCTAAAATATACGTGATTGATGAATTGGCGGAACAACATGGGCACAAAGTTCTTCGTCTGCCTCTTACCATTGTATATTTAACCTATTGAGTTAATTTGGGGCATAGCAAAAAGGTTACTATAACAGACATATTGGTAGAGATGGTAACAGTGAAAAAGACTGTTTGGATATGTGGAACGAGGCTCTACAAACGGTTACCCCAGACATGTGGAAAAATAGTGTTCGACAATACTGAGCAAGAATTTTTAAATGGTATGAAAGAGAACGAATTTTTGATCGACCAGACATCGAACCTTTAATAATCAACTTTGAGAGTGATGAAGATTCAGATTCAGACAGCGCTGAAGAAAGAAACTCCGACTAACTTTATTGTACAGAAAAGCTTACACCAGTAGCTTACCTAATTTTAGAATGCATTTTTCTGTATGAATTCTGTAAAATAAATACCATGCATAAAATTTGGAGGACCCCATTTGGATTTTTATTCAGTACCTTTAAGCTATCAATTAAATATGGTAGTTTCATAGTGTCATCTGATCAATAATTGTCATACTTAATGATTATGCAAGTACAGATCTATAATTTTATTATACTATTATTTTGTTCTCATTTGAGGTTAATATTGCTTATAACCTAGATAGGTAAATAATAATTTTATTATTTTACAAAAAGTTTGGCAACAATGTAAATTTTTTCAACACACCCACCTTGATGACGTGCACGCCACTTGTGTTTTGGCGTTGACTATATTAGGTATATTTCATATATTACTGATTACTGAATGATGTTTTTTTTGGGTGGTCACATAAAACAATGTCACTCAATTCAAACTTCGTGTTTTGACGTTTCAGAGCATCATTTTCAGAAAAATTCTCCCAATGGTTAAACATTGGATGTTGAGGAATGTAGGGGGGGGGAGGAGAATATAATATGTCAATTTTTTACCAGCAAAGTATACGTTTCCATCTCCGTTAATTCTCTGCACCTATTAGGCATATTTCATATCGTCGTTGCCGTGGAAAAAGCTCCTATGTGATAAATAGTAAAGTTTTCAGGAGATACGAAAAACATGTTCATGCTGAAAAGGTGTAGTAAAACAAGATGCATAGGACATAAGAATACTCTGTATTGAACATTTCATGCTTGTATTAATTGGGCAAGGAATATTAACAAAATTATAAAATAAAATTTTATTCTTAAATAAAACGTGTCCACATAGGAGCATTTACTATATTTAATAACGTCACATAGGAGATATTGCTTAATTATTAGACGTTACAATATAAATTAGCGATAAGGCACTACGAGTTGGAATTGCACTTTTTTACAGTGTTTTTGTCTTTTTTGAAGGTCAACTTGTCATAAAAATGATGATGCTCTTCTTCTATCACACCTTTTAGTTCTTGAAGGCATTTCCATTTCGTTTCAGCTATGGGAATTTCACAGGAATACAATGGAGGTGGTTTTTGAACATATCGTGTGAAAACTCGTTGGGGTAACTCTTCAAATTCCTCACTGTGCCGTATTTTGTAAAATATATCGCCAGTCGGGCGATATTCCAGTGCTCGGATGTCCACAACGTGTGGATCGCCCACTTTCTTCCCAGGTCGCAAAGATCGGAGATTTGTTGGCAATTTTTCGAAATTGAGAAAAAATTTGTAATCCAGTACGTTGATTTTATATGGTTGTTTGGGTCTAGCGCTTCTCATTTGAGCAATATAATCGCTAGGTGAATTTATTGGTGGGACGAAGTACTTCTCAAGCGAAGCGTGTACGCTGTCACACTCCATCATGGTGTGGCCCTTCTCTAAAAAGAGTTGTCTGATAAGAATTCCTGACTGCACTGCATAATCACGCAGAGCACTACCTAGAACCTTATTTCGATTTTGGTATGTGCAGCCATCAGATATTAACGTAACTGTTTGGTACTTGTGTTCACAAGATGACAGAAAATCTATCACACATGTGGCAAACTCGTTCGAGGATACTCCGCCATTTGACTCATGCCAGACATAAAGAGATACTTCTTTGTTATTTAGCACAAAAATAGTAAAATTGTGTAGTTGTAGCTTCTGTTTGTAATACATCCTAGAGGCATCAGTTTTAGGGCATAATAAAACACTTTGTAGATCCATAGTCAGGACGAGATGTGTGTCATTAGCCTCAGCCTTTGCTTTATTCTTTGCATCTCGAGCTTCGTTTTTCATAATGATATGCTTTTGATATTCATCGTAGGAAACCGATTTTACCTTGTACCCACAACATATGTCGCATTGGTCCTTACGAGGTGAATGTATCTTAATTTTTTCCTGCTTAAGGACATCTAAAAAGAATGTTCTTGAGGCTGCCTTTGTATCATTACTTTTGCACCAGTCTTCATATACACTATACATGTGTGACAGAGATCTAAATGTCGATTCTACGTAAGTACAACTGCTTGTACTTCGGCAATAATGGCTAGGAACCTTAGGGAGCAGCGCTAACCATTTTAAAATATTGTTTTCATTTCATTGTGAATTTTCTTCTCTTAACTCCTTCTGCTATTGTTCTCTTCTTCCGTTTCGGTATGTCGTCCCGTTCGGTTTCGTTTTCTGCAAAAGTGTCGCTTCGTCTAACCCATCTCCTAAATGTATCTTCCCCTAGATCAAGGTATTAATAAAGAAACGTCTGCAAACCCTTTACTCTTTCTCCATTACATTTCGGCAAGAAATATCGTGTCCTTCTTTCTTTTTGAGTTATTGTTTGCGTCTTGTCTCCTTCTTCTAACATCTCTGGTGATAGTCAATCCTTTAACGAATGCTTTCTTTTTCAGGCCAGCTACTAAAATTCAAAATTTCTTGAAAATTCGTTGCCTATCGTTTTCAGATACCATGTTACAAAGAAAACTTTCTTTCACCTTTTCTTACCGCATAAAGTGTGACTACAACGCTCCTTACTGATCTCGATGTCTTCATACAATTTTGTTTTATTTTTACCATCATCCGATTTTTTTGTAGCCAAACATAAGATAACCCGGCAACTCTGCTTTTTTTGGCTTTAAGACGTTTCTTACTTATACGTGAAACTGGACTATCTGACACGAACTTGAGCATGAAACTTTACCTCCCTCTCCAAGGGTTCCCCCCATTTTGTTTCGATTGATTGTGCGCACTTCATCCAAATCTCTTCCATCGTTTTGTGTTTTTACATCCGTAGTTTGATTTTGCACAGTATTCACCTCCATCACTGGATTCGCTGAAGTGTGCTCTACGTTAGAATCTTCCACTTCCTCTTCTATTATAAATGCTTCATCAGTAAACGAAATTGGTATAACAGTGCCATCAATATGACTGACAATGCACTCCTCCCATTCACTATCCATGCCTAAATCCTTTTGATCTGCTTCTCCGTAAACACAATGTGAGCTTTCGTTGCATACATTTTTATCATTTTCGATATTTTCCAGTGCCGCTTGAAGAATTCGCCTACTTCGACTCGACATTATGATTATCTACAAAAAAAGCTCGGGATAGAATATGTTTACAGCAATGAACGCCTGAACGTAAAAAACAGCTAATCAGATGTTGAACGTTAGGGTACGAACACAAAGAAAGCAGGTTTATCAGCGCCGACTCTCGACGTCGAAAACCGGCGCCTGTACGAGCACAAAGAAAACAACTAGCCGGGTGCGGACACAAAGAAAGCATGTACCTGCTTACTTGTAGTCGACGCTTACAAACGCCAAGAATTAAGTACGCTTTTGAAATGTCCCGCACACAGATAAAACTTGTTGTAACACCCTGTTTATAGACCTTGATCCTTTTATGTTGTATAAAATACTACCAAATCTGCTAGTATGTCAATCATATGGTTCATCAGTATAATAGATAAAATAGAACTTAACTCAGTTGAACGGTTTCGTTGTAACTAATAGCAGCAATAAGCTCAAAAAGTAATTCCGTTTAAATGCTGAAGCACAGTACCTTTCGGATTCTAACCTCTAATGTGCACAACTAGACACGTGGTGAATGGTCAAAATCACTTATGTGTTAGAGAGTCTAACACATAAGAGGTTTTACAACAACAGCTATAATAATAGAGGTGGAGAAGTCTTCTATGTGTCAGCACTGGATGCTTCTGTGTACATAAGAGATTTTGCACAAATGATTTTTTGTGATGTGTACATAGGAGATTTTATTTTTTCAGAATAACACAGGTTAAGCTAAAACAGCACATATAGGGTTTTGCCACATTACAGAGACATTCATTACTTTTACGTTGGTATCAAAATACCAATTTCGTAAAAATTACACATGAGAGGTTTTTCCACGGCAACGACGATATATTACTGATTTCCCCGTACATTTGACTTTAAAAATGGAATGATAGAGATATATTTTCGGTAGGTAATGCATGCCGGACAACTCAGCGAGCGTATGTCTATCTGCTCCGAATTCTGAGGGCTAACTTAACGATGATGCGTGTATCCGCATATGGTGTATGCAACACCGCTGGGTATTAGGCTAGATTACAATGGTATCAAAACTGTGGGACTTCTATGAGCATGTTTGACTAACATGATCCATTTCATTCCTTAGTTATACATGTTCGTAGCCAACTTTTTCCGAAGAGGGAATAACGTGCTGAATATAATTCTTTATGAATTGATGACAGCGTTGCGAAGGAAGTGCAGAGTTAACCTACTTGTGCATCAAAATTACTGATAATTTTTCATGAAAGGGTGTTGTCTAAAAACTGCAGAAGTCAGAGTCGGGTTCTTTCGCAAATGTGAATAGAACCGAATGCGGTTTTTCACTGACAACATATGCTTGAATGGAAAATTGTCAGGTTTATTTTGATGCACGAGTGTAATTCGGTAGAATATTTCTCGAGTTGAAAGAGTAAAAGTATGTGTTAAGTTTGAAATTTTATTTAAATTTATATCAAGTAGGTAGGTACATAAATTGACTATTTCCATATATACTGATGTTCAGTATCTTTAGGTTTACTTTGACCACTTGTTCGTGAATTAAGCTCAAAGAATAGTTTCCGAAACGTGATATTCGATATTTATGACAAGATGACAAATGCACATTAATTTCATCAATCGCAACTATAGATACGGACTTATAGGGCAATTTACCGTACTGGGCTATTTTCGCTGTAATTTTACGATAATTTTTTAGGGTAAAGAGTAAGGGGGTGGGGGAGGGTGTAACTCAATTTTTTATGTTAGTATATTTTTTTTCTCTCTCTCTCTCTCTCTCACTCACACACACTTTCAGCCCCAGTAATTCTACGCACCACAGATTTCCCCGAACTTAGAAAAATATTTTCAGCATATGCGGGTTATTTATTTATAAATATTGCATCTTTTGGTACTCAATCCAGCAGGCAAGCAGCATGGCGACATACTAGGTGGGCGCAATATTATCTATATACCAGGTGTTTCAAACTCGACCTTCACCATTGGGATGTCGGAAACGGTAATAGATACGAAGTCACTTGAATGGGGGCAAAGTTGCGTTTCAGGTAACTAACAACAAGCCACTTAGAGAGCTTCAAAATTCAAAGTAGTTCCGGGGACAGACGGAAAACCCGAATTTTCCCAAAATCGTTTTAGTTCTTTCCTGACTTTACTTGTAGTGGAATATAAAAATAAATTGTACCTTAACAGTGCCACTTTTTCTCTTCTACAAGATGGCATAATCAAATTCAATCAATCAATATGTTTCCTTCTATTGTCCTCCAGCATCATATGATGGGCCATATTGGACAGTTGCACAGATCAATAGAGTTTTCAATTCTAATTCCCAATTGCCAAATATTCGTTATTTGAAAAAAACAGAATATCGTAGTTAAGCTTCGAAATTATCAGATTAATTTGTTTGGTATACCAAATTTAATACAAATCATTTTTATTTTTTCTGACTTCATTTTAGATACAACAAATTCTTGGAGATTGTTGTTAAATATGGTTTTGTCGGTCAGTCTCTTAAATGGGCCAGATCGTTTTTAATCCAAAGAAAACAATATGTTTCAGTAGAATATCTTGATGCAGGGAACAATATGAAAAACTTTGTGTCAAGTACGTTAAACATCTCGATTGGAGTCCCTCAGGGCTCTATTCTTGGACCAATCTTTTTCCTCTTATACATTAATCAGTTTGATAATGTGAATCCAGGTACCCATTTTACAGCATATGCTGATGACGTTTCTGCCATAATATCAAGTAATTCAAATATAATTTTGAAAGATAAATGTAACAACTTAAGGAATATCAATACATGGTTTAACCAGTACTCACTTTACTTGAATCCTTCCAAAACAACGCTTATCATTTTCATCATGCTCAAAAAACTGTAGAAGGGATTCAAGTTAGATTGGGTGACGATCAACTCGATTTTAGAGGAGAAGTGAAATTTCTTGGAGTTTGATTCGAACTTAAATTGGAAGGGCCACTGCGAATTTCTCACATCAAAGCTATGTGTTGAGGCAATTAAAAACCATCTTAACAGCTGAACAATGATACAAGTTTATTTTGCTAATGTGTATTCGAGATTAAGATATGGAGTATGTTTCTGGGGTTGGTCAACGCGCTCTGAAGATGTATTTGTGTCTCAAAACAGATGCATCCGATCATTAGCATGCATCTCACCACAGAAAGTTGCAAAAAATATTTTATAAGTTTCAACATTTTAACTGTCCCTTCGTTGTATATATAAGAATTTTGCTTACATGTTTTTAAAATAATGAAAAATTCAAGCGGAATTGTGATATGCATATTATGATACAAGGACTTGTAATAATTTATATGTAAACTTCAGCAAATCAAAAGCGGCATTTCGTCACCTAATAAAATTGGTCCGCTTCTTTTTAATAATTTACCATGCCACATACCTCGGTTAAAAATATTAACGACTTCAAGTTCCAGTTGAAGCGATTTTTGATAAACAAGTGCTTTTATCGTGTTGATGAATTTTTGAACATTGCAATTTGAGATTAGTTATAGATTTGTAGCGAACGAAAATTGACAATTCCAATACAATTATACATTGTCTGTATGGAAATAAAGGTTATTGATTGATATTGATTGATTGATACGATATCTAATAAATTTCATGTTGTATTTGGCCATTTTTTCTCCTCTACACGAAAGTGTGTTCAGATTTGCAATCCGAGGTTCTTCTTTCGACTTCCATCACCAACTTTGTTTTTTCATATGGACACTATATTGGAATTTTCTATATTTAAATACCACTAAAAATAGAAATATAAAAAAATCGATTTTGGGAAAATTCGCTTTTTTCTGTCTCTCTCCGGAAGTACTTTGAAGTTCAAAACTTTCTAAGCAGCATCTTGCTAGTTACCTGAATGAGTAAATTTGCCTCCTAATGGTGTGAGGGTCGAATTCGAAACACTCAGTATATGAGCGTTATGCTTGGAGTGTAATTCAATGATGTTATTGGATTTCGTATATATATATAGTATATTATATAAGTATTTATCAATAGCTATAATCATTCATCAAGCACTGTTGACAAACATTTTTCACCAGAGCTCCAAAGAAATGAGACTCCTCTGTACGGATGGCTGCAATCTGAAGTATTTTTTTATGAAAAGCTCAAATAGTTCAATACGGGTTCTAATAAAACCTACACGTATTTTTGAATGCCATTACACTACATCGTAAAGTGTACTAGAAGTTGTTTCGAATGCGTGGGATTTATATAACCAATATATTTGAAGTCATTACGTAATTACGTCCTGTCGAATGATTTGGAGTGATAAATAATTCTGACTGTATCCTTAGGAGCTATTTAAATTTTCTAGGGAGCGCTTAATTTCTGTATTTGTAGGAAGCAGTTGTCGTCTCTTTGCAAATCCATACTTACCTATACAATTTCTAGGGCCAGCACTAAAGCTATATAAGAATATGGCTTCTTCCCGTCATTATCTTCAAATCTGCTGGGATTGAACGTTGTAGGATCTGGGTAAAACTCTGAGCTCCTCATCATACCATAAGCAAATATCCCTATATTGAGTCCTGCTGGAATGATATACCTACAACCAAAGTGGAATCATAATCGTACTTCGAATTAATAAAAGCGTTATGAGTCAGCCTGCATCATATTTTGATGGTCGTACACCATTATTACCTATTTGATAATAGAACAAAGTTTTTGGCAGTGCTACCAATTTTCATTATTATACCCAGATATTCGCAGGATAGCATTTATATTTTTTAAGTGGCAGGTACCTATGTTCATCTTTTTTATTAAATTGGTTGGTTGGTAAATTGAAATTTTATTGTACAAACAAATTCGAAAAAGTTGATGGGAAAACTATTAAAATTTAGAGAGTGGAGAAATAAACTGTACGTCCTACCTTTCTTGCTTAAGAATGATATTGATTATTGACAATTGTTACAAAAACCCTCAGTAAAAATAAACAAGCTTTGAAAAACAAATAAAATTTCAAAGTTGATACCTTAATAATAATCTACCTTTACGATGGAAGACTATGAAACTCAAAGTTTGTAGTGTATCATTCGATTCCATTTTGTCGTGTGTTGCC